TCGGGTTGTGAAACAGATCAGTGGACTGACTAACAGGCTGTGTCACAGCTGCGGGAGTGGCTAGTGACTTGCACTCGGACATGCCTGCTCGTTGAAGAATGTCCCGCATGTATCGACGCTGAGTCAGAATCATGCCATCTGGGGTGGTAACTGTCTCTATGCCAAGGAAGAAGGCCGACTTTCCCAAGTCCCGGATTTTGAACGCCGTGGACAGCCGATGCAAGAGAGAATCAATCAAGGTTGTGTTATCACCCATCATGATAATGTCGTCAACGTAGACGAGTAGGAACACACGGGAATCCCTTGCAGAGTAGTGAAAAAGGGACACATCTGTTTTGGAGGCAACAAAACCTGTCACAAGCAAAAAATCATGCAAACGATTGAACCAGGCCCGTGGAGCCTGCTTCAACCCATAGAGTGAGCGCTGTAAGTGGCACACATAATTAGGATGATCCGGATCTTCGTAGCCTGGAGGCTGCCTCATGTAGACAGTCTCGGATAGATGACCATTTAAAAACGCGTTATGGACATCCAACTGACGTAGGGTCCACCCACGGGATACGGCAACTGATACTAGATGAGAGTGGAAGCGATAGATTAATTCAATAACAGAATCAGAATACAAATATACTCTCTTAGAGAGAGACCTAAATAATAGGCTTAAGACTAGAACAATTATTCTATGCTATAATATACAATAGAATAAATATAATTAATAAACATAGTCTAACAACCCGTGCAATGCACCGGATGAATATTGTTCATCTTATTGGGTAATTGTGTAAAAAATTTAAGAGATGATGTAATATATAAAAAGTTGGAATGGAAATATAAAATCGAAAATAGAAACAGTAAAGAAATTACTTTAACATACAATATAGAAAAATAAGAGTGACAAAATTACAAATTATTGAAAACTTTGTGGTATATATCACGTTGGTTGTTGATGTATAGATCTATTATAATTTTTTGAGTACTTTTTAGTTGAATGAACGTAGACATAGCAACCTGGTTATATCCTGGAACGTATTGTTTATGGTTGTGCATGTTAGTGTTGATGTAATTTTTCTAAATCTTATTACAGTTTCCTATCATTTCAGGCTACTATTGGGTTAATACAAAAGAGAGAACAAGCGAACCACCATTTTCACCAAAAGATTAGTGGTTTCTAGTGCTAACAGTTTAATAAAAAGACATAGATCATAGACTACATGATATCTACAAAATATGTTGTACTATATTTATGTTTTTGAAATGAGAAATACTTTTGTTTTGATGAAAATATTTCCTCTTTGACCCAATGGTGCATGAAGATGTAATCTTCCTCATGGTCTGTAATCACAATGCTTACCCTTTTTGTTTTGTGATGGAATGTTCTTAGTATTTTCTGCCACCCTTTTGTTTGTAGATTCAAATCTTAAGTTAAGGCTTATTGAGAAATGAGTAATTAATGGCTAACCATAATTATTCCCATAAACATAAATATTTTATGGGAAAACAAAATATGCATACTGGAGTAATTGATTTTGATTGGCTTAAAAGTACATGTTGCACTAAAAATAGATAGAAACCAAAAAAATCCTCACGAATATTGTATTTTTTTAGCCTTGTAATTATCAATGGTAAATGATTAATGAAAATAAAATATGAAAAGTATTAATATTCTATATATTAAAATTAAGTTGAATATATATATATATATATATATATATATATATATATATATATATATATATATATATATATATATATATATATATATATATATATAATGCAAGCTACTGTAATTTTTGTCCGGTAAATAAATTAAGTTTAACGAACTAAATTTGAAAATATTGCAATCTACTATACCTAATAATTATTATATATTTTGTTTAATTTTGCAATGAAATTAGAGATATATTGCAATCATGATTTTGTTTAATAATTATTATTTTCTATGTAACTAAAATGAAACTGTAAGTTTTCAAAAAATAAAAAATAAAAAATAAATGAAATTATAAAATTACACAGAAAAATATATTGCATAATTGGAATGAATTTTAAAAAGTCAATTATTTGTATAGTCGGAAATTGGAAACGAAATGTTGACACATAGTAGCAGATTCAAAAGTCTGTTTGAAAACAAAATGTAAGCTATACTGAAAATGAAATTACAATGAAATTAAAGTAGGATGCATTGGTTATACTATTTGTGAACAAAGTTTCTCTTCTTTCACAATCGCATTCATCTTCTTTCCCACAACATTAGTAGAATACTGATTATTCAAAGAACGTTTCACTGAACGCTTAAGTGGTTCAACTTCATCAGCATCAATTTCACCGTCATCCTTGGATTTTTCCTTTATGGGTGATGAGGACGGTTTTCACACATCCATCAAGTATCAAATCACAGTATAGAGTTTAGATATCAATCCACTGGAGATGACTCTTGTAATGCTAGGAATTGATGTAAAGTGGAGTTAAGCACAAGCTAAAACTATTCTTTTAGAAGCTAGACCTATTGGTAAGGAGTTGGTTTGATATGATTAGGCTAATAATAAATAAGACAAGCAAAACAAAGGACCGGGATTTGGTTGATTCAAGCTAAGATGCCAAATATTGTACAAAGGATTAGGGAATTAAATCAAGGCATATGGTAAGTGAGATGCGCAAAAGTGTCCAAATACCACTATCGTAGCTATTTGGACTTGCAACCTCACATTTGAACTCCACTCTCGTGACAATTCAACCCAAGGATGCCCAAACACGAACACAAGGCAAAGATTCCCCTTAACACCCAAAATACTCTCGTATTGGGCATTAAGTGTGTGAATGTGTGGCTAGTGTACAAGCTCTACTCTCGTAGCAACAAACACACTCCAAATCAAGCATATACTTAGGATCCAACAATCATACACAAATTTCTCAACAAACCCATTTCACACAACCACCCTAGATCACCCAAATAATCCCCATTATGCAATACAACTCAAATATGCATCAATAGCAAGAAATCAAACCAAATCCAAGTCCTAAAACACTTAGCTACTCATAATCTAAAAATAGATACACAATATTGAAAGAGTAATTGGAAGCATAGATGAAAAGTAAAGAGAAGAAATAATAAGAAAACTTCTCTATGGAAGCTTTGAAATCCAAGATTTGCAATGTTCTTGTGCTTGAAAATGGAAAGGTGCCACAAATCTACACTAGTCTAAGCTATTCTAAACTAACCCTAACTAGAGAAATGAAAAGGAAATGAAAGATGTAATGAAAGATATGTTTTGGGGTGAAAAAATCCTCTTAAAAGGGGTCAAAACGCGCTGCAAAAAGTTGCAGAGGGCTGGCCACGGGCGTGGCTTCACCCGTGGCCACAAATGCAGTGTGTACTGCCCAGTGAGGCCGTGGCCACACCCGTGGCCACCAGGCAGTGTACACTGCCTGGTTGCCACGGACGAAATAATCTGTGCACCTACTTCAACTTTTAGGCTATTTTTCACCCCAAAAATTTTGAATTAGAATTTTTTGTCTTCATCAAAGTTGTAGCACTTGAAGTTAGCTTTTCAATGATATAAAAATCACTTGCTTTGGACACTCCTAGACCGAGATATGGTCAAAATACGGAGACAGCGCCATTCTGGGTGAGAAATGCCACCTTACTATCTTTTGCTTTGCCTTTCCATTGAATTGCCTATATCATCAAGACCACTAAGGCACAAATATTTGGCACATGAAAGAGTGTTGTTCAATCTTCTTTTCTTCGTTTTTCCTCACAAAAATATCCTCATGCTATGATGACTTGAAATCTTGATCAAATAACTCAATGTTTGGCTCAAAACATCATTTTCTTGTCAAGTCACCTAAGCACAAACAATCATTCCATAAGTTACCAAATTGGCTCCATAATATAATGATTAACCAGTATAAATACCAAAATGTGCAAGTAAAAAGCATTAGTTTTAGACATTCATCAATGGGTGTAGTGACCTCATCTCCAGAAGATAAATCCTTGAAAACAATATTAACAAACACAAATTAAATATGATTCAAATTAAACAAATAAACATAAATATAGTGATTACTAAATTAATCATGGGGAATATTACCACTATGTGGTTGTTTTGCATGTTGTGTAATTTTAAACAAATACCTGATTCCTGTGTTATAATTAATTATGATTGAAATTCTCAATGTGTGTGTTTTTTTTTTAAATAAAAAAAAATTGAAATTGGAGTTTCAAATATGTAAATAATTAAATGTTATAAATAACATGATTCTCTCGCATCAAAGACTCAGGGACCTTTGAGATAAGTGTTGTATCACAGTTGAGTTTCATTCATTACTGTGAAAAGGCCAAGATAACTATTCCGCTGGTTAGATTTCACTTGCACTTTAAATAGGACTTCCTTATCCACAATCATTTGCATCTCAGGGGGAAGTTCAATTGCATTACCCTTCATGATAAATGGAAGTAAAATAATAAACATATCGATTTTATACATTATTTTGTAGAATGCATGAATCGGATCTTGTATTTGTGGTGCGTAATTTTGTATCTCATGCATTTGTTGCAATGATAAAGTTTTTAATAGAGTACAAATGACCCTAAAAAAAAATAAATTCATCAACTTGAGCCTTTTTTATTGTTCCATGTATACACGTACCCTAAATTAGCAAAAAGTAAAATTTTTTGATGGAAATCTATATTATAATAGAATATGAAATACATGAATATGTGTTATATAACAAACATATTAGCATGTGAATTATAAAACTAAAATTAAGAAAAATATATATTGGGATTGAATATATTATGAAATAATCTATATATAAATAGTATGTAAATTAAAAAGTATTAATTGTGTGTATGTTATGTTATAACTAGTGTGAACTAATGCGGTTAAAATTTATAACATATAAATGAAATATATTTGGGAATTCAACAAAAACAATATGAAAATGGTATATTACAAATAGTTGCAAGGTGATGGTACTAAAAAAAAGAGAACTGTACAAAATTACAAATTATTGAAAACTTCATGATATACAACATTAGTGGTTAATGTAGTAGTTGAACTTGAGTCTTTTACTATCAATATTTTGAGACCGTGTGGATTGTTAACCCGAGATGCAGCTACGTACAACTGACCGTGTACAAAAACCGGTTTCTTTAGTATTAAACCAACATGAGTCAACGTTTGTCCTTGACTTTTATTTATGGTCATTGCATATGAAAGCATCAATGGAAATTGCCTTCGTCGAAACTTGAACGGCAATCTTGGATCAGAGGGTGACATTGACATTCGGAGGATCAACACTTTTGTACCTTTGTTAGGACCAGTCAGTATCTCGCCTTCAATAACATGGTCTGCTAGCTTTGTGATTATCAACCGAGTTCCATTGCACAAACCAAGAGAATGGTCAATATTTCTCATTAACATTACTGGTGAACCGATTTTCAAAGTCAAGGTATGATTTGGTAGACCTGAAACCCTAATGCAGTTTAGAAATTTCGGTGTGTGTACATCTGCAAATATACCGTTGTCGCCATCGGCTTTGCATACTGCGTCTGAACTATGGTATGACCTGCTTTCGGCATTATGCAACTCAGTCATATAGTCATTGACTGCGTTGACCACATCTAGCGTTGGTGCGAAAATAGCACGACCTTGCAGGTGCTCGGGGTCAGTGTTTCCATTTGCAAACATAGGAAATGTACTGTGCACAATTGTTTTAATATCGTCCCCTCCGGATGACAGTAACATGTGCTTTGGTATTTCAACCTCTGCGAAACCATCATTCCGCCCACCCAGCTTTCCATCGCCGACATTAGCAATCCAATCAGCAAATTCTTGTAACGCCTGCCGGTTTCCACCGTTGGGTACCGAACCTAGTCTGAGGTTTTTAGTCAACGTTAAAACTTTGCAACTATCCCATAGATATGATGAATTTATGGCTAAAGACACAATATCTTGCCGTGTACCTTTTGGAACTACTGGAAGGATTTGGCGAAAATCTCCACCCAAAACAACTATTTTACCACCAAACGTCTTCATTTCACTATGAGGGTCTACAAAACGCAACAAATCTCGCATAGTTCGATCTAACGCTTCAAAGCAATGTTTATACATCATGGGAGCTTCATCCCAAATTATCAAACTCGTCTTTATCAACAATTCAGCCAAGTCACTACCTTGTTTAATGTTACACGTAGAGTCTTCATTTATTGCAATAGGTATTGCAAATCTTGAGTGTGCAGTTCGGCCACCTGGTAACAACAAAGAAGCTATGCCACTTAATGCGACATTTAAAATGATCTGACCTTTGCATCGGACTGCAGCTGACAACGCTCTCCACAAGAAAGTCTTTCCTGTTCCACCGTATCCATAAAAAAAAAAATAAGCCACCTTTATTGACTGCAATGTCTTGGATAACAATATCATAAATGAGACTTTGTTCTTTAGTTAGTTTGGCACACAGCACTTCAGTATCTTCCTTCAACTGTTCACGGTTGTAACATAACTCTTCAAAAACCAAACGATTTTGAAACAACCTTGAATTATCAGTAGTTAGTATTGGCATGGGAGGGTAGTCTTTTAAAGACTTATTTTGTTGCCCCAAAAGGTTTTCCAATTCAAACAATCCAAAGTTCTTTTTCTCTTCCTCTGTTAAGACCAAATCTATTACGATACCAACAAACAGATAGTTATAATTATAACCTAAGAAAATTGATGAAAAGTTTATTATATCATAAAAAAGTTACATTACCTTGTTGTTTTAATATTCTTCTTTGATAGTGTTGAGCATCTTCACACAAATGTTGCCACACTTGATTCCAAACATTTTCGGGTCTAATAATTGAGGAGGATGTTAGTATAAACAACAAATAGCTTCCTCAATGAATGTGCAGTTGACCAGTAGCTTGCTTCATTTATAGCATCAATGTACTCTTTATCATCGTTTAGCAATCCATGAGCATAACATGCATCTCTAAAGGTCAAGTACTCAACACCGTTAACTGTCCTAATATCTTGGAAACCTTTTGGACCACGGACTATGTTCAATAGACACCTCAAATAATATATTTCACCTGAAGCTGGTGGTACATAGAATATTCGACCAATTGAGAAACCCTTCTTTCTTGGATGCCATTCACGGATGTCCTTTTTCCACACAAATTTGGTAGGCATCTCAATGTAAGTTAGTAAGCTCGCTTCTTTGAAATTTTGGTTGGCTACAAACCGTGCATTAAACATACTTTGCCCAACGGTCTCTCTATTGAGGACATGATCAATCATATCATCGTCTTGGAAAACAACTGATTGGCAGTCAGGCAAGTGAAAGCTTAGGCGCTCAACCGGGGGAGTTCTATACAGGACTTCAAAGCTAAACAACCTCTAAGCTGCCTCGCATGCAGAGATGTATCTGCAGTCATAGTACATGTTTATTTCATCAACAATCTCATTACCAGCTTCATCCATCGTAGTCTTATAAAACTCAGCAGTAACACGGTCGTTGCCCATGTTGACATACTTGAATAAGTCATTACTACAGAAATGATATACTACGTCTCTTAATAGAAGGCGGTTTTTTAAATAACCGTCTTCTATTATATTTTGTTATACTACAACACATAATAGACGGTGGTTTTCTAAATAACCGCCTTCTATTATATACTACGGCACATAATAGACGGCGGTCTTTAAATAACCGCCTTCTATTATATACTACGGCACTTAATAGACGGCGTTCTTTAAATAACCGCCGTCTATTATATACGTCGTCACTTAATAGACGGCGGTTGTTAAATAACCGCCTTCGAATATATATATTTACGTCACTTAATAGTCGGCGGTTTTAAATAACCGCCTTCTAATATATATTTACGTCACTTAATAGACGGCGGTTTTAAATAACCGCCTTTTAATATATATTTACGCCACTTAATAGACGGCGATTTTAAATAACCGCCGTCTAATATATATTTACGTCAATTAATAGACGGCGGTTCTTAAATAACCGCCTTCTAATATATATTTACGCCACTTAATAGACGGCGGCTTTAAATAACCGCCGTCTAATATATATTTACGTCAATTAATAGACGGCGGTTCTTAAATAACCGCCGTCTAATATATATTTACGTCACTTAATAGACGACGGTTCTTAAATAACCGCCTTCTAATATATATTTATGTCACTTAATAGACCGTGTAAAGGTAGACACGAGCTATTGCATAATATAGATATATTATTACTATTATTATTATATTATATGTATAATGTAAAATTAGAAACAAGCTATTGATTAATATAGAAACGTTTAGGTAGGGATTTTTTATTCTAATAATATTAAATTAATATTTTTCTTTCTTCCGATCCAATCTCGCGCACCACACAAGCTAGACACGCCGTGTTCCGCCGTAGCCCATCCACAACGCGATCACCACGCCGTCTTCTCCGGTCACCCTTGTCGCCGGGGCTTCTCATCTCGTCGTCGCCGGTCACACAGCTCCAGTGCACTCAGCGTGTGAAAGCTCCGTCGTCTCTTCTATTCTTGCCGTTTGCGTCGCGTCTCTTCTCTCTTCTCGCGGTGGCCGTCGTCTCGCCTCGCCGTCGCCATCGCATCTCCTGCGCCGTCGCAAGGTATTGCCTTAATTTTAATATATATATATATATATATATATATATATATATATATATATATATATATATATGACACATCTTCGGTGCCATATGATGATTGCAGATGTGGAACCCATATGTCTCTTTTGGTTTGAAATGGTTTAATTGTTATGAATATATATACCTACGTATTGACTGATTTAATAAATTGTTTATACGAACCCTAGTTTTATGATTTTAATTGACTAGTATGAACCCTTATGTCTCTTTTGGTTTGGAATGGTTTTATATGAATGGGAAAATGCTGAGATGTTAGAACGATACAGATTTGCAGAAGAGGTTGGATCTCTGGGATCTGTTCTGAACAGCATGAGGGAAATGTTAATATGAATCCTGATGCATGTTTTTCAAAATGCATGTTTTGTTTAGTTTTATATTATTATATTAATTCTATGTTCTAAATTTGATGTAGTGCCCTACACAATCCGGATCTTCAGAATGTGGATATTATGTGATGAAATATATGTTTGATATTTTACAAATGGAATTGGATGACGATGGATTAGACAAGGTAAGTAATGATCACTTCAATATATTTTTTACGGCCATACTTATTAGATTTAGTTATTTTCATTATACTAACTTTCTAACTTGAGTTTAAATTTGTAGATGTTCGATAATACTGAAAGCTATTCACTAGAAGAAATTGATGAGATGAGAAATTTATGGTGCCAAAGTCTTGTAGATTATTGGATTAGAGCTACATAATTATGACAATGAATTAGTATTGGTTGTGATTGATAATATATATCATATTGATGTATTGTATGCATTTTGATGCAATTGAATTGCTTTTTATTACCTATGAAATTTGAGATTTACAAATTTGTAATAATACTGGAATTATTGTATGCATTTCGATCAAATTGTGCAGCGTTTTATTGTATTTGATATTTGATATTACAGATTTACAAACTGGAAAATAAAAAAATTTTGAAATAATTTTTCAAAAAATAATATAAATATTAAAAAACATATGTATAGGCGACGGTTGTTTTTTTGAACCGCCGTCTAAAAATATTTTATAAGGTTCAAATGATATGTATAGACGGCGGTTCAATGTTAGACTATTAAGTATTCCATTTGACTATATATATAAATTTATAATAATCTTATTACAATATATTTGTTGAGCTTCATACTATTTGATACGTTGCTAAATGGCATTCTGCTACTCAAATCTTGCGTTGAGGTAGTTTGTATTGTCGTTCGTACCGGAGAAGAAACTGTGAATTACAATAACTAAGATTACTATCAGCTAACACTTATAACATAGGACTATAAAATATTTACTTAATCATTGTAGTTTAATATATCTAATAAATACATCGCTGAATTCTAAATTTATACCTAGTTGCGAATCTGGGGTTCTATTTAAGTCGAACGAACGATTTTTTGGGATTTTGGAGTGCGAAAACAACAATGTTGTACGTAGCAGTACTGTTAATATGGCTGTATCGTGTGATCGAAGATGTGGATTATAGATTTCTGTGACGTGTCGTTACACTACCTTAAAAACCTTTACGACCAGGGAATCACAAGTTTTCGACAGGTTTAGCACAGAACAACAGAGCTCAGGAGAGTTTTCGTTATGGTAAAAAGCGTGTTTATAACGATGGGGAAGGGCGGTTTATATACTGGAAGCTATAACCGCCCAGCCCCTCTCAGCCATACAGACAAAGCTAAAAGTGCAGAGTGTGGACAAGACCAACGCCTTGTTCGCTCACGTTCTGTAGATTAGAAAGAAGAGCGGACAAGGTGACTAGTTATTCCACGAAAATAGGGGTTAAAAATATAGAGGGGGTGCAAAACTTTGACCACACCGCGACGCGCGTGCGAGCCGAGCAAGCGGCGGCGACGCGCGCGTGGTTTCCCCTTATTTCCCTCCATAACACTTCAAACCTTGTAAAAGGAGTTGGTGTTTAAAAGGTGAGAAAAGATGGGCTAGCTTTCCAATGTGGGACACTTTGTAAAGACACTTTCAAAGCCTTTGCCTCATTAATGTTCCCAACAATCCCCCACACATTTCATGGGGCAAAGCTATACCCAAGAATACCCGAGCGAGCACAAGAGCTATTTCCATGTCAGTGTACGAAACTTGAACTGCCATGAAGTGACATTTAAGTAACTTGTCGCCCGAGAGTGAATTGAATCTTGAACTCGTCAGTTTACTGAGTTTTGAACTTATATGCACTTATTAACTCTTAAAGAGTCCCTGTTTGTCTAGCTCAATCTAGACATCAACTCTGTCAAATCTATCTCGACATAGACCACCCATAACAGGCTACAAAGTACGTAATGTTTTTATAGTTTTTCTTGTAGTAAGTTTTTTCTGTGAGTTTATTTGGCCACCAAAGTGGTTCATCACGAATTGCTTACATCATTGGGTTTCAGACCCATCTCCCTTGAAGAATCAAGGATGGCTTTCCTGTTTAAGCCTTTTGTGAAAAGATCTGCAATATTCCTTTCAGATCTCACAAACTCCATTGTGATCACCCCGTTTAATATTAGTTACCTTACAGACTCATGTCTGACTCTTATGTATCTTCTTTTCCCATTATAGACACTATTTTGTGCAACACAAATGGCAGTTTGTGAATCACAATGCATAGGAACAGCCAATGCTGAACACCCCTACAATGGCACGTCTGCCAGTAGGTTTCTCAGCCACTCGGCTTCTTGGTTTGCCAGGTCTAGAGCTATGAATTCGGCTTCCATAGTTGACCTAGCAATGCATGACTGTTTGGTTGATTTCCAAGAGATGGCTGCCCCACACATAGTGAACACATATCCACTAGTTGAGCATACATCCTCACTATCATTTACCCAATTTGCATCACAGAACCCTTCTAGCACTGCTGGGTGTCCTTTGTAATTAAGACCCCAGTCCACGGTGCCTCTCAGGTATCGTAATACTCTTCTCAATGCATCCCAATGCGAAGTGCTAGGGTTGTGAGTATAGCGAGTGAGTTTGTTTACTGCAAACGCAATATCTGGTCTAGTGTAATTCATTAAAAACATTAGACTCCCAATTATTTTTGCGTACTCATCTTGAGACACACTGTTCTCTACATTTTTCGATAGTTTGACACTTGGATCAAAGGGGGTTTTAGCCGGAGTTACTTCATGACTGTCAAACTTCTTCAGAAGTTTCTCTGTATAATGGCTTTGTGACAGCAAATAGCCATTACCAGTCTTTGTAACTTTTATTCCCAGAATAACATCGGCTTCCCCTAAGTCCTTCATTTCAAACTTGTTAGAAAGAGTTCTTTTAGTCTCATTTATAGCCTCAAGACTTGAGCTAAAGATCAACATGTCATCTACATATAAACATATTATTACTGTGCTTGACTCTATCTCTTTTGAGTATAAGCATGCATCTGATCTATTAGTAGAATAACCCAAATCTAACAACGTTTTATGAAATTTTTCATACCATTGTTTAGGGGCTTGTTTTAAGCCGTATAGAGACTTCTTAAGTCTGCACCCTTTCCCTTCCTGTCCCGGATCAACACAGCTAGGAGGTTGCTCCATGTAGATTTCTTTTTCTAGTTCACCATTTTAAAAAGGCTGTCTTTACATCCATTTGATGAACTATCAACCTGTGAGAAGAAGCCAGAGCAAATAGAACACGAATGGTTGCTATTTTTGTTACTGGTGAGTATGTATAGAAATAGTCCTCACTGAATTTTTGTGTGTAGCCTTTGGCTACTAGTCTGGCCTTGAACCGTTCGATTGACCCATCTGGTCTCAACTTTCTTTTGAAAATCCATTTGCAGCCAATTGGTTTACAGCCCTTAGGTCTATTGACCAGTTCCCAAGTGTGGTTAGACTGAAT